TGGGTGAGTGGAAACAAGCTAAAATAAGTAAATATTGCTTAGGAAAAGGTTTGATTTTTATACATAATGTAAGCACAAATGAAATATATTGTATAATTGTACAATTATGTATATTGAAAAAAGTGAATGATTCGGTGAACAAATGTAGTTAAGGCAAAAAATGATAAAGATTGCAAAAGGCACAGAAAATGCAGATTAATAAAAAAAATGGATGTAAAAGATTGTGTTGGAAATGGATGAAAAGGAGTAAGCAAGGAGTCTCCAGAAGAGTCAATGGAATTTAGAATAAAAATGATGAAAGGATTTGGGATGAAATTGATGTTAGAAAATGGGGGCAGAAATATATTACACATTTGTATGTTTAATATTTGATATTGAGAAGTTGGACTGAAATTGCTCAAGAAAAAGGAAATGAAAGAATGTGTGATTGCTGACAAATAGGATGTACGTATTAGTAGCTATAGATGATGTACATTAATGGAAAAATGATAAGATATGTCAAAGGTAATAGTTTCAAAACAATAAAAGTGTTTAAAGAATAATGAAAGGATTTAGATAACAAAAGGGGATTATTAAAGTAATTTGTGAGCAGCTCACTAAGGAGACTTTGTCTCTGCACCACCTTCAGTTTCTTCCTAAGCCTTAGAGTAGCATAACTGGTTTTGTAGGATGTTTTGACCTATTAGGTCATGCTGTTTTTCTTTATTTTTGCTTTTCCGGGCTATGTATATTATTGCATTTTTATTGTTTTGATTTTGCAAACTGCCCTTGGTTATGATAGATTAGAGCAGTGTTTCTACAACCTTGGTGACTTTAAGACGTATGAACTTCCACTTCTGGGACTTTATATTGGCTGAGGAATTCTGGGAGTTGAAGTCCACATGTCTCAAAAGTCTCCAAAGTTGGACTGGAGTGGCCTATGGCTCTAATAAATAAATAAATGTAAATGAATAATAAAAAGAAATATTTAGAATGCATTATACGAAAAGTATGAAAAGCCCAACACTTACCTCAAAGAGAAATGAAACCTGGGAATGGATTTCCAAGCAGACATTCAGAACTCACAACTTCTAGAGCTTTGTTCTTCTCTATGGGAAGAATTTGGCTCCTGGGAGGGATCCATTAATTTAACATCCAGGGCTGTGCAGTTCATTCAGCAACTGTGTTTTCTTTAAAAGACCATGCATTCAAAGGGTGGGAAAGAGATGGACTTTATATCCAGATACGGTATTCTGTCTGCACAGTTATTCCTATTTTTGAAAAAAAATGAGACAGGAAGTTTAAAAATTGTATTTACAAAAATTAAGATTACCAGGCAGTGACAGCAGATGTTCATCTTTTCTGTGGCAAAAGTGAATGGTTTCCATCCAGCTGAGAGGGAGAGGGAGAGGGGACATAGTCATCTTTGCTGCTCTTCTCTGCACTCCTCTAGAGTCTCAACATCTTTTTTTATATCATGGTGACTAAAACTGGATGCAATATTCCAAGTGTGGTCTTTCTAGTTGCAGTATAAAGTGGTACTAAAACTTCATGTGATCTTGATACTATCCCTCTGTTGATGCAGCCTAGGACTACATTGGCTTTTTTGGCAACTGCAGCACACTGCTAGCTCATACTTAAGTGGTTGTCCATTAGCAGCCCTAAATTCCTCTCAAGTTACTATTGTTGAACTACATACCATCTACTCTATACCTGTGCATTTGGTTTTTCTTGCTTAATGTAAAACCTTACTTTTCTGATCACTGGATTGCATTTGTTGGCTAGGGCTCAGTGGTCTGGATCTTAAATATATCTTAGTGTTGTCTGCAACTTACATGCAACTAACCTAAAACTTACCTGTTTCATCCATATCCTGAAAATACAAATATGTTTTATATGATTTTACTTGCTTTCTGGTTTTAATATCCCCACGACTTGGATTGTAGAATAATACTGTACAGCAACTATAAAAACGAGGCATCAGCTAATGCCAAGTCTTCCATAGTTATACTTCTGTTTATTTGCTGCCCACTTTGATGTTATTCAATAATTTATTTTTAATTTTATCATTTTAGTAGGGTTTTTTGTTTCTGGACTTTGACATTATTAAGGTATTATGCATGGATTTATAATCTGCTTTTGGAGTTTATGTGGAGCTTGTTCAATATGGGTAGGAATACAGGCATCTATGCCTGTTGATAAGAAAAATTACATTATTGTTCTTTCCTAGAAGGGAAATATATAATTATACTGATGAATTTCTAAGAAACTATGAACAAATGCAGTTAATTAATATCTTGATCTTCATCTTACTAAGAGAAGAAATCAATGGAAACAAAGTGTCACTTACTGCATTTCTGCCAGTACTATAGTTGTTCTCTTCTGAACAAATTGTCAGTATATCTGGGGATGTATTGATACAGATACTCTGACATCCCAAAAGCTACCAAGAGGTTGTATTGTTGAAAGTGAGACTATTAGGAAATTTTAGGAACTTCTTGGAAAGGGAAGCTGAAAATACCTTCTAAAAAAAGACAATGGCAAAACACTTCTGAACTATTTTGCCAAAAAAGTAACATGGATATGTCTGTTTAGTAACTAAGAGTCAAACTCAATTTGAGAGAAATTTTATCCTAAGCCAAGTTGCCACAACCGATATAGAAAGCCTACAGCACATCTAAACCCAAAGACCATATTCTTCATTTGGACATGTGCTTGGATTACACATTAGGGAAGGTTGCTCCTACAGTGATAAACACTATGCCAGTTACTACTGGTTTGTTTGACTGGATCTATCTCATTAATTCTGTGCAAACACAGTCAGGATGTACACTTAAGTTAAGAAGGGCCAGAAAAACAAACTCTCCAGGCAGTGAAATTTCTCCTTAGAATTGATTAAAAAGCACTCTGGTGTCCAAGATAGAGTTGGTAATTAAAGCAATTAATTATCTAATTAAGAAACAAGGCAGATTCTAAGGTCAGCTGGGCATTGCATGTTTCTATTTCAGAGCCTTCTAGAACAGCAAGTTTATTTTCTGCATGAGCTAAAGAAGTAAATAGTCTCCTATTTCAAGCCTGTGACTATTTGTTAGACATATTTATATGGCACCCATCTTTAAGCATTTTGTGTGGTAACAAAAAACAGAATAAACATAATAGAAAAAGACAACTGATTGACAGCATAGCCAAGGAACCATTAAAAAAAATCCACTAAAACGTAAAGATGAAATAAACATGCTGGGTTCCTCTAACAGCCTCATCCTGGCACATGGAGGAACAACCAAATCTTCAGGGTCTTCTATCTAAAACATTGCATAGGATTTGGGCCACCAAATCTCTGGGTGAGATTGCTCCATAGGGCAGGTGTATAGACAGAGAAGGCTGAAAGCTGCAGAACACCACCCCCTTGATCCACAGTTGATCAGGAAAACTGTTTATTTAGTAAATTTACAGGCTGCTCATCTCATATATATGACCCATGGGGGCTCTCAATCAGAGCAGAATAAAACATAATAAAAACAACAAGAGTTAAAGCCCAGAAAAATAACATGAAAATAGTAGCCAAGAAGACTCACAACCACTCAAACAAGCCATGACACTGGCTCACCCATGCTCTTAGGGCTCCAAACTCGATGGCAAAGATAGGTTTTTAGTGCCTTGGAAAGGCCAGCAGGGTTGGGGCAAGTTTAATTTGGGGGAGGGGGTGATGTTTAGATGACAGGCATCATGCCATTTAAAGCTCTCCTCCTGAGTCTCAACAGATAATAATAATGATGATAAAGTTGGAAGGGACATTGGAGGTCATCTAGTCCAACCCCCTGCTCAGGCAGGAAACCCTATACCATTTCGGACAAATGGCTGTCCAGTTTCTTCTTAAAAACTTCCAGTGTTGGTGCATTCAACGCTTCTGGAGACAGGTTGTTCCACTGGTTAATTGTTCCAACTGTCAGGAAGTTTCTCCTTAGTTCTAGGTTGCTTCTCTCTTTGGTTAGCTTCCACCCTTTGCTCCTTGTCCTGCCTTCAGGTGCTTTGGAAAATAGCTTGATAGTTTCTTAAAGACAGGACCCAGAACATGCCTCTCCTGTCTGATCTAATCCCAAGCCATGGAGGGTTTTAAAGGTAACCACTAGCACCTTGAATTGCACCATCTACATAATCTTACTCTTCCCTCTGCTCCCCCCCAAATCTGTTGGCGGTAGATGCCAAAGAATGGGGCATTACAGCGTCCATGGTATGGCAGAGGTACATCATGGTTAATGTTGAAGGGTTCAGCTAGGGCAGGGGTCCTCAACCCTCAGTCCGTGGACCAGTACTGGGCCACAGTATGCCAGCAACCAGGCTGCACAAACAAGGAAAATCCCATCCGCGGGATGCAGGCAGCACACAAAATCACCCCCCCTCCGGTCTGCAGAAAATCCTCTCTCCACGTAACCGGTCCCTGGTTGGGGACCTCTGAGCTAGGGGTACCTGGGCATCCCTGGGTCATTTCAAATCCAGTCTTAGCCATGGAATTTCACTGGGTGACTGGGGCAGGCATCTTTTACTCCCCCCTCTCCCAGAGCCGTTTGGGAAAGCTGGAGGACACACTGCTATGGATGCTACCTTCAGCTTATTGAACAAAGAAAGCATATAAAAATAAATACTGTAATTAGGGGAATCTATATTTGTGCTTGAATCTGTGCTTGGACATTCTGCTATCTGTGATTTAAAGGCCTGCTCCTGGCTCCACTTGTTCTTAAGACCATTCCCCTCTTCCCCACTTGTAGCATAGTGGCCTTAATTTGAGGATCAGGTGGCACGGACCCCACTCTTTCCCAACAGAAAACACTATACCTATAAGCTCATTCTTGCATTATCTTAAATGGTTACATTTTAGACAGTATAACATTTTAGAACTTGTTTGGCCTGTTTACACTTGTCTCGGTTTAATAATTGACCTTACAGGTGGAGCCCAAACTGAAAAGGAAAATGAAAACAAATGTAGGCACTTTATTTCACTCTTGCTTTTGTGAGTCGAGTGGGCTTCATAGGCATTAAAAAAAACGTTGGGTCCTCTTTGGCAGCAATAGTGGAATCTAATTTTTCCCCTTACTACCAAGAATCCGGAGTGTGGCTTATCAGGTACAATTTTCTTTACTAAAAAATCCAAGTTTCTGCCAGCATTTCCAGGAACTGCTGGTGCTCTGTTATGACTTCCAGTGTGCAGGTATGTGAGTACATGGCTGAATGTTCTGCAGTTGTTGTGTAGAAATATGTATCTTTAGTTAGGCGAGGTCTGTGACTTTCCCTTACTGGCTGTGAATTCTAGGAACTATATTACAACAGGTATGGAAGAATAAAAACTGGTCTAAAATAAGACAGCTGAAAGGAAAAGAATAATTATAGGAGCAAAGGACTGGTCAGGGAGATTGAACTGAATATCTTTTCCTCATAAATTGCTTTTGATTTTTGATTATTTTATTCAAATATAATTTGGCAAGCTGTAATTTGCAATAGTAAGATCAAATCTGTGTATATGTGTGACTGAATTCTTCCATTTTGCTATTTGTCTAGTTTCTCTTCTAAAGATCATTGGAGGTTTTCCAAAATAGACCGGACAACTATTTGACTGGGATGGTGTAAGACTGTTGCCTTGAGCAGGGGAATTGGACTAAAAGACCTCTAAGTCCCTTCCAGGCTTATGATTCTATGTTCTAAAGCAATAATATAACCTGTCAGGGAACATACACAGCTGCATAAGGAAGTTATTGCCGTTTTGAAGATTAAGAGCAAGTCATCCACGGTGCTTGTGAGTGTGTGTGAAAAAAGCAAAATGCTGGTATACATTGCATGGAAATACATACGGGCAGGTGCACAATAGAATTGTACTGTACCACCACTTGTCATTTTTTACGGCTCCCCATGACTGCATCCAGCCATTAGAAGTACAGTTTTCCAGTAAGGTATCTTTAATGCCAGTGCTAAGGATAAACAGAGAATCTGGGAAACTGTAAGATGAATTTCAAACCATTTATTCATAATAAGCTAGTTACGGTGGAATCTCTTGAGCTGCCTTGAATGGTTTCTTCACAGGTTATAAGGGATTTTTGCTTCGAAACTGGATCTATTTGTAATTAGTGTGTGCTCTTTAAAATTCATACAGAAGTCATGTGTCCATGTCTCTGTGTGTGCATAGGTGAGTGTCCAATAATTATGGTATGTTGGGGGGGGAAAGGGTGGTAAAACATTTCTTTTCCTCCTTCAAATGTATGGGGAGAAAGGGTACTGGTAGTGCCAGATTGCTACATAGCCAGGAGGGTCATTTGAGTGAAGGATTAAGCAAAACGGATCTAAAATTTAAATACTAATTATTTTTAAATGATTGTGAACTTCAGTTGTTCTTGTTACTGTTTTTAACATGGTGACATTTATATCTTTATTGTGATTAGGATTTTTTAAAAGTTGGATGTTTTGACTATAATATAGGGAGAATGGGATTTATCTGCCCAATTCTCATTTAAAACCACTTAAGCCAGTGACCACCTAGGGTTCTAATAGCAAAACCTGGTTGATAATTATAAGTACTGTATGAAAAAACATAAACTTTTAAGAGGCAACTGCCTGTCATATTTATTGAAAGAACTTGAGTCCTGGTGTGATGAGAGAAGGATAAAAATAGTTCCAATCCATTTGGGTGACAACGTGTCTCGGTAATCATTGTCCATTAAGTTTGTTCATTACATGACTGTATTTGTAGCATTCTCTTTAGGATACAAGCCTTTCCAGGTAACTTCCTGATATATTAAGTACACCAGAGAAAACATTATAATCATCATTATTAGCTTAGCATCAGCACTTTTATGTTATTCCATTTCAACTGTCTCTCAGAAACATCTTTCATAATGAGAAGATTCAAAATAAGGAGAGTCACAATATTGCAATAGTGAGGTCAATCATCAGGGTCAGGTCTGAACTGTAGCCCCTCAAATGCTCAGTGAAAAAAGATGTGTAGGGGGCCATTGCTCAGGTATGAGGGCAAGCTGTTTCACAGAAGGCGAACCACCACCAAGAAGACCTGTCTATGAGGGTCCCCACAGTGGGCCATCTATTCCTAATCTCACTAGACAAGCGGATTCATTTGGTCCTGAAGATATCAGGGCCCTGGGCCATATGGGGCTTTAAAAGTAATAATTAGCCCCTTGAGTTGCACCTGTTTGCTGACTGGCAGGCATTAACATAGAAAAAAGCCATAGGGATCTTTCTGAAGAACAGCCATTAAACAGGAATTCTCTGAAGGCCAAACCAGCAGACTTTCCAAATGTATTAACTTTCACATAAGAAAGCTGCTACAGCTTTGATGATCACCTACCTGTACAGGTTTTTTTCCCTGCACTGAATGTTTGTGTTTGGTAGACTGCAGTTGTTTAGATCAAGGATATGTTAGATGTTTACATAAGGCAACTTATAGCTTTTGTTCATTCAGTTACACTTTCCTGGACCTGGCATGACAGTTATTGCTATGGCTTGTGCCCTACATTTCTTAAAATAACTTCCTTAACTTACTTCCTTAATTATTACTTTTAAAGCCTAAACTAAGGAAACTTCTGCAACCATTGGTCAGGTCCATGCTTGAAAAGAACAACTAGTATTAATTGTTTACATTTTCTGTTTCCTTCAAGATTTTATTTTATTCCCACAACTTGTATGGGAGGCTGGGTTAAGACAGAGGGAAATCACACAGTGAAACCAAAATCATGCAGTGAATTACCATGGGTGAGAATGGACTTGAATCCAGACTATAGTCCAGCATTTTCACTAGTCATAATTTTGCTTCCTGATATAAAATCTCTTTGCATGTGTTCCCCAATAGCAGGCTGGGATCCAAAGGAGACCAGATGTTTGCTAATTATTAACTTAGCTTGTTTGTCTTGTGCATATTATTTCACTGTGGGCAAAGACCTTTGTGCCAGTTGGTTACTATGATTGTGATAGGGATGCCCTTTATCCTCTGATCACTGGTTACTGCCCTCTATGCACATTTTTTTTAAAAAAATAAATACATTGATAGAACAGTAAACCAACCTTCCCTTCCTTCCTTCCTTCCTTCCTTCCCTGCCTTTTTCCCTTTCTGACCCAAATACATAAAGAATGATTAAAAATATTTTTTCTTTTATTGTGCCATTGGCAGATACATCAGACAGGATGCGGAGTCAATGTAGTATGCAGAGTCAACAAGTATGCGGGAGTCAATGTAGGAGACATCTAGTTGATTGTGTTGTAAGGTTTTCCACTTTGCCTCACAATTGCCCCAGCATTACTCAGGAATTTAAAAGAGCCAAAGAAACTCCTGAGTCGAGGTTTCAGCAAGCAAACAACTTTTATTTTGATCAAAATAGAGTTGGGTGACCCTATCTCTCTTCGTGGCTGGTAGAGAGATGAAGGCAACAACCAGAAAAGATGTCTTCCACCTTTTATACCTTTCCAGAACAAAAAGATCAGGTCTTGGTACCAGGCATAAGATGGCACAAAAAAATAATTCCTAGATGATGACTCATACACAGCAACCCAGGCTCCATCCGTAACTGCTTTTTCCCCCTCCCCTTACTGTGCTCTTTTCATATATGCAATCACCTATACCTAAAGCATGAAGCTCTTACTTTTCCAATATATATATAAAGCATCTGATCAAGCAATTAACTACAAAATAATGATTACAAAATAGCAAAACAATGATTACATGATAACACTATAAGTATCAATATAAAATGGTTACTATATATAAAATAAATGCTAATGTCAAACTTAAACATACTAAAATCATACGCACAATAAAATCCCTTCAGTGTGATCAGCCATAATATGCTTTTACCAAGAAATGGAACAATTCAGGAAAGCACAGTAATTACAAAATTCTACCCAGTCAAAATCTTTACTTGCAACCCAGTAAAGCAAATATTTACAATTAAACTCAGTACAACAATCATCTGGGGCAATGGCTTATAATATGACAGAGTGCAGCTACATCCATATTTACTAAAACAGATGTTAAACTACAAACTGTCAACAAGGTGATATAAACAGCTCCACCGTATACTCACTAGTGAAATAAAAAGGTCTTTATATATTTTTTAAAAATCCTCAACTTTGTGGACCCTTATATTATCTCTTATATTGCAATATCCACATAGCATACATACATACATACATATTTGCTGACACTTTATTTAAACTAAATTTGTGTATCAGTGATTACATGACCTCTGTAGATGCTATATGCTAAATAAATAAATAAATTAAAATCCTTATGGAATGTGAAAAAAGGGGGAAGCTTATCCCAAAGGTGCTTTTTCAAAAGGCAGCAGGACTTTGTTTTTCCTTGAAGATGTTTTCATTTCTCATACAAGAAGTTTCTTCAGTTCTGACTGAATGGTGGACAATGAAAAGTCCTCTATTCAGGTAGGAAACCCTATACCATTTCAGATAAATGGTTGTCCAATCTCTTCTTAAAATCCTCCAGTGTTGGAGCATCTACAACAGTGATGGCGAACCTTTTAGAGACCGAGTGCCCAAACTGCAACACAAAACCCACTTATGCATCGTCGGGTGCCGGGTGGGTATGGCCCATTGGGTGGGTGTGGCCCGTTGGGTGGGTGTGGCTCATTGGGTGGGCGTGGCTGCGGTGGTAACGGCAGACTGGGTGGGACTAAAAAGTTCAATCAATCAATTCCAACTTTGCAAGATCTTTTTTTTTCCCGCGAGAAGTTGAAATTGACTGATTGATTGGACCTTTTTTTTTTGCATACGGCAGCTGAGGCCTAAAGCGAAAAGGTTTTATAAAACCCAGCTGAAGGCCTAGGACTGGGGCAATGGCACGCGTGCCCACAGAGAGGGCTCTGAGTGCCGCCTCTGGCACCCGTGCCATAGGTTCGCCACCACTGATCTACAACTTCTGGAGGCAAATTGTTCCACTGATTAATTGTTCTGTCAGGAAATTTCTCCTTGATTAGTTTCCATCCATTTTTTTTGTCTTGCCTTCAGGTGCTTGGGAGAATAGGTTGACCTCCTCTTCTTTGTAGCAGCTCCTTAGATATTGGAACAGTGCTATCATGTCACCCCTAGTCCTTTTTTTCATTAAACTAGAC